GGTACCAACACCCAAGTAGGTTAGGATAGGTCCAAAAATTGTGGGTTGTATATTCATTGGTTATGCACAGAATAGTAATGCATATAGGTTTCTTGTGCACAAATCTAATATTTCAGATATACACAAAAATACCATGATGGAGTCAAGGAATGCGTCTTTCTTTGAGGATGTGTTTCTTTGCCAAAACCAAAGAGATTATCAAAGTTCTGAAAAGGAACTTGAAAATGATCCTAGTGATAATGATCAAGATGAAGAAGTAGCTAAGCCAAGAAGGAGTAAGAGAGTTAGGATTGGCAAGTCCTTTGGCCTGGACTTTTTGACTTGCATGTTAGAGAGAGAACCTCAAACTTTCCATGAAATTGTAACTTCACCTGAAAGTCCCTTATGGAAAGAAGCAATCTTATAGAACCATATTTAGGAGTTAGTTGATCTACCCCAGACAGTAAGGCCGTGGGGAGTAAGTGGATATTTAGAAAAAAGATGAAAGCGGATGGGTCAATTGATAAGTATAAAGCTAGGTTAGTTATCAAAGGATATAAGCAGGGAGAAGGTCTGGATTACTTTCATATGTATTCACCTGTGATAAGGATTACAACCATTCACATGTTGATTGCGATAGCCACTTTACGTGGTCTGGAGATACATCAAATAGATGTAAAGACAACTTTCTTGAATGGAGATTTAGATGAAGAAATCTACATGGAGCAACCCGAGAGGTATTCAGCACCCAGCCAAAATAAGAAAGTCTGTAAGCGTGTCAAGTCATTATATGGTTTGAAACAAGCTCCTAAGCAATGACATGAGAAGTTTGACAATGCTATATTGTCAAATGGGTTTAAAATCAATGAGTGTGACAAATGTGCATATGTCAAAGATACATCACAGAGGCTATGTCATTTTGTGTCTATACGTCGATAACATACTCATTGTTGGTAGTAATGATGAAATGATAACATAATCATTTTGTGACTTTAATGTGAAATTAAAGTATGTCTCAACTATTGGTAGAGGTGGGATTAAATGGGTTTAAATTGTTTATAACAAGATCTTTACACCACAAAAAGAATGACCAAAAACCATTAAGAATTGAATAAAAAATTGTCTCATAAAGTTGGTCTGATAAATGAGGTATTGGAAATTATGTATAACTACTAATTCCACATTGATTGTAGAGAAAAATTTTGATAGGTACTTAAACCTCAAGATTTTGATAAGGGCATGAGCCCTTTGGGGCATCCAAATTTTTCGAAGAAAGGGAGTTACAGTTGCTTGAAGGATGGGCTTAGTCCAAGTTTGTAGCTTGATTTTTCGTGGGAGTTATAGTGCCCTTTGGGGCATTCATTTATTGTATGTTGTTGATGTGGTGCCGTAAAAAGTCAATCTTATTGTAGTGAATAGTGAAATTCAATTGTATTTTTCAGAAATAGCAACTATCACTGATGCTGTTGCTGCTGCTGCTAATGTTGGTGGGGATCAGAACCCTGAGGCAACTGGCTTGCTAACCCCAGCTATGACTTTTGTGGTCAACCCTGTTGCTACTCCTGCTGTTCCGGGAGGACCGTTCAACCATCATGAGAGTTCGGTGAAGTTCATTAGAGTGAATTTCAGGAGGTGGCAGTAAAAGATATTATTTTACCTTACTACTCTTAGTCTTGTGTAGTTGTTTAGTGAGGATCCACCAGCAACGGAGGAGAATGGGCAAGACAAGCAAAAGCTCATAGCTCTAGATACTTGGAAGTAGTTAGACTTCCTTTGCTATAACTATATTCTAAATGGCTTGGCTGATTCACTATTCAACGTGTTTGTAGCTTGACATTTCGTGCTCCTTTCGGAAGACGAGAAGCCCTACAGTTTGGACTCCCGTGGTTCTGAATCAGATTCCATAAGTGCAATGTGAAATAGATAAACACAAAAGAGTCCAAATTCGACAAATCTTCTGGAAAATCGATTTTGAACCAAAATGCCAAAAATGGACTGCTTTGCCAGATACAGAGTCGCCACCTAAATATTTTTTGGAAAATTTAGGATACCCGAGACTCATGCCAAAGGCCACGTGTCCGTCATCACCAAGAGTGTCTCGGATCGGGAACTTAGGTACGAGTGGGGAAGGTCATGAATTGAGCACTCCCGCTCGCCCGATCAAAGATCAGCCACTACTAATATTGATGTGATTCTTATTTACATTATATGCTCTTGTTCCGATTTATTAACTTAACTTTACTATGTGACGCACATACAAGTATAGACTAATTTTCAAAAATGGGAACATTTTGATTTCATGTTTGTTTTTGAAAAGAGTGTTTGCAAATGTGCCACTTGAAAAAGTGGACTTAAAGAAACATTCATCAAATTATTCCAATTTGAGTAACTAGCCTTCATCCACAGGCATTCAAGCAATTTATCATTTAAGCACTTACCCTCATGGTGAACATGCTTTTACATGGCAACAACCACACTTATGCAATATACTAAAGCAAATAAAAGTTCACCTCGTACTCCAAACCAAAAAAATGAAAGAGTTAGAAAAATGCAGGATCCTAACTATGCGATATGACTAATGCAACACATGCGATATGCAATTACTAGGCTCGGCTACTAATATGGCATATGAATCAATTTGATAGCATGTGGTCTAAGCACGTATTCAATGAAGCGTTAAACTAACAATGCAAGTTAGAATAATGAATCAAGTCTCGATACATGCAATACAAGTGGATGCAAACATGGAGTATGTTAAACAAAATATAATGCTCTAATCCAACCATCATAAGCAAGTAAGTAAAAGGGAAACAGACGTGGGGTTGGAAGATATACACATTATTAGAACATTGCCCTCGCACAGGAGGGTGCGAATCAAAGTCCAAAAGTCCGAATTTAACTAATTATTACAAAACCGAATGAATAAATAAGCAAGTTTAATTAACTTGCTAACTATGCTGTTACAACAAGGATAACCAAGATTAATAAACTCACTATTTAAACTAATTAAGTACAACGACTACCAAGGGACAATTATAATTATTACAATACTTAATAATTAACGAGACTAATTACAACAAACAATAGTAAATTAATTAATTACAATGATCATAATGTAAACGAGAATGCACAAGAATTACATGTATGCACATGCACAATGTTCAAGAATAGCTCTGTTTGCCCCAAGCTGGCTCTGTTTCACCTTCAACCAGTGCCCTCTATTTTCTACAAAAATACACTGCTGACCAAACATTGAGGGTCGGGCGGGCCTCAACGAAACCCGGCCAGGCCTAGAGAAGGCTGGCTATGCTTCAATTTTGTGCAAAACTTTGTTTTGTGTTTTGAAGTGAAAACAGTGTAGACAGAGTTGTTCAAGCTCTGTTTGTCCCTTCCTTCCTTTTCTGTCATGGAAAAGCCTCGAGAGAATGTTGGAATTGCTTCAAAAGCTATCAATGTGAAAATTGATTGCTTGATGGTTCCAGATGCAATTTTGGACAAAAATCAATAAATATAATGAATATGGCCACTCCTTCCTTCTTATCATGGAATGAATTCAAAAAAAGGAAATAGAGACGCTTCAAGAATCATAGAAAACGCATGAATTAGCGCATGATCATTCTTGACTCAATAAACTTGGCATAACGTTCAGCCAAGCCCAAGCAAGATGATTCATTTTCTTTATGTGTATTGATTGCTTTTAAGCCAATTCTTTTAGTCATTTCTATTATTTAGTCCATTTGTCCAAAGTGATGATTAAGTCATTTAAAAAGAGAGAAGCGTCAAGCGGGAAGTAATTCTCAACATGAAAAGGAGACTATGCCATTGGCAATGAACCTCTGTAGAGATTAAGTCATTAAGCGTAAATCTCTAGTTTATGTTTTGAATAACCGATTGAAACAACTCTCAAATGAAAGAGATGAATGTCAAGTTAATTTTTAAAATGAGGTCCTTAAATATGGAAATGAGTTGAAGAAAAGCTAGAACAACATGCAACAAGCTATGTACAAGGACTTATGATACAACAAATGAACTAATCAAAGATTGAAGTAATTAAATAAATTAGGACAGCCCTAAAACAGCCCCTAATATACAAAAAACAGTGTCAAAACTACTTCAAAAAGGGAAAGAAAGTGAACACAACTATGAGAGGACAAGCTACACAAGCAAGCTTGCACTACAAGCATGATATTCAAAGCATAAAGTAATTAAATGAGTCCAACAACCCCTAAAACCAAAAAAAAAAACAGTGACAAGACAGCCCCAAAAACAAGCTAAAATAAAATAGTTTGAAAAGCTAGAAAAAGTAAGCAAAGATTAAAGAGAACAAAGCTAGTAAGCAAGTCTAAGGAATGGTGGCTAACCCCTCCACCTCTTAGAATTTTAAACCATGTTTTTCAGCCCTTTAAACCTCTGAAAATCAGTTTGTAAGCTAAGAAAAATAGTGATAAAACAAAGGGGAAGAGCTATGGAGTAAGGTGCAAGAAAGGGTGTTAACCCTCACTACAACATATAAGACTTTTGGCGACCAATTATTTTGGTCTCTAAAACCATTATTTTGGTCTCTAAATGATTTTTGTGACAAAATTAATTTTGTCACTAAAAAAGTCACCAAAAGTGCGTCTAGAAAAGTCTTTAGCAACGAATTTTTGAAAATGTCGCTAAAAATGACAATTAGTGACCAATTTTATATTGTCACAAAATGTTTGATTTTACAGGACTAGAGCATTTGGTCACTAATACTTCGTCACAAAATGTCCTTATTTGGTCGCGAAAAACAAAATAATGACATTTTTAACGACAACTATATTTGGTCGCTCTAAAAGTCAATTTAGAAAATGTTTTGTAACCATTTAATTTCATAGCTTAAAATGCACAAAAATTAAATTTGTTATCCAATCAAATAAAAATAAAATAAAAATTTTAAATCCACACATTAAAGACACTCTACTCCCAAACCACAGAGTATATAGAAAATAAAATTTTACAAAAATTAAAACGCAAAGTATCCAAATTCACTTCAATATAGTTTATTATATGAGTTAAAATTCAAAATAGTATCAAAATAGTTCAACATAGTTCATTATATGAATTAAAACTCTATGAAGATATCAACCACAGTCGACTTCAACACCACGCTATGGCTTTGCATTTGCCATGCCCAGTTTGAGAATGCTGGCCAAGGAAGGGCTTCAGTGGCCTTCCCTAATACTCTTTCCTGGCAAACCAAAGATGATGATTAACACCATTTTCTTAGAAATCCAATTGAAAAGGTCTAGGGACAAAAGCATAAACTGAAGTTCTAATCAATCATAAGGTTTCTTAGAAGGCTAATATATTATTTGAGTTGTTCATCTATTATTTATCATTTTGCTAAAACAAGGACTCTAACTTTTGCTATGGAATGCTTGCTTACTGTGCTTTACAAAATAGATTTTGATGTTATATTAGAAAAATTGCATTTCTCTACGGTTTTAGAAAGTAGAAATATTGGTGACTCAGTTATCTGTGAGATAGACAAAATGATAGACGATAGTTACCTCATAGTTTGGTGTGAAAATGGGATAGAAGCCAGACCATATCGGAGGGTGCTTGGGCCATTGTTAGACCACAGGTGTTTTGTCCATCCGTAGGAGCAGAAATAGAGCTCTCAACTTGTAAAATACACAAAATACATTGAGCTATTAAGAGGTTATAGTAAACACAAAGATCACGACATATGTGATTACAAAAATTCAAAGTCGAGAGAATTCAAACCAGCCACACATTTGAAAAAAAGCTAAATTGAATAGAATGAGTTAAATCAATTTTATTAACTAAACATTAAAACTAATTTTTGGCAGCAGTCATTTTCCTTTCTCTATCTTCTTGTCCATCATTTTGTCTAGAAATCTCAATTAAATGTCCTCTCAACTTGCTCTATAAAAAAATTTACACAACAAGAACTTGATGAAGTACATTCACTCTTCCATCCCCCACCATCATCACAGAAGTCAACTTATAATCAGTAATTACCTAAATTAAGCTCATAATCCGGACTGCCATTTTATGCTTTCTTCAAGTAACAATGGAGACATTTTATAATTGGACAAAATTATAACCTTCTTATACTTCAAAATGAACTATAGAACAAACATATTTATTCCATAAAAGAAAGGTGGAGGCATAAACCTTGAACAACCAAAGCACCTAAGCCTATATACCTACAAGCATATACAAATCCCCCATAAAATCAATAATCCAAGAGAAACAAAATGGAGCACTCTCACATCCAAGAAAACAAAAAACAGGTATAATTCCCTTTAAACAATGAATAGGGTGTTAACAATTACTCTCAAGAGACAGAAACATTTCAACCTTGAAATTTCAATGGCTATGTAGTATGTAATAAGCAAAGGCATTGCTACATATAGTAGCACAGTGACTACTACAACACACATGAATGGAGAATGTAAGGAGAAAACTTACCTTCACGATATAGAGCCCATTCATGCTTACGCAAATGATATGGAGCATCAAGTACCACCACCTGCTTATATAGGAATAGTTAGAACCCCCCCTTTTCGATGAACAAAATAGCTAATGTTAACAGTTAAATATCAAGAACCCCAGCTCCTCTTTTCACCAACAAAACAAACAAATTCAATAAAATCCATTATTCTAATTTAGGGTCAAACCCATAACAAAATACCATTTTGATAGAATAAAAACTCATTAATAGTAAGAATACCATTAATTCAATAAAAAATAGCCCACTAATAATACATAAAACTATTTTAGATTATACACTTAAAGTTTATAATTACTCAAATTTTAAGAAACTTAGGTAAATACCTCGTCAATTCGGAAAATGGTTGTAGTGCATGCAATTTGACTGGCCAACTGAAAAGAAACAAATGAAAATGAAATCAATATAAACACATATACATATTACTTCTCTAAGTCACATACTGGAATTATAAAAGCAAAAGAGAAGAGTTTCTAACAGTACCACAGCAAAACAAATAGACTAATACTTCAACAAGTGCTAATTCAATAGCAATTTTCAAACCATCTAGCAACAAGGAAATTCAGAATTAAAATTTTCATAAAATAGCAAGAGTCCCACCGTCTCTTAAACATAAATCCTCTGTGAGAAAATTTTCCCAAATCAAAAGCCACGCTCCAAATAAAATCAAGCATCAAATATTTCTGATAATCTAAACCAGAACAAAAAATCAGCGTGAATTCATATCAGCAGGGTCATTATAAATTCCCTAGGCTATAAATAATACATTAGCATGAGACTTGAATGCAAGAAACTCCTTCAGATGTTATGCAATTGTCACTGTGAATCTTGAGAAAACAGAGAGGCACACAAACAAACACATAGAGACTAGACTAGTACTACTTCCTCAAAAAGAATAAAATTTGGGAAGAAAACAAAGAAGCATCATTCTGGACAAGGAAAAAAGATAAATAACCACATGGCAATTTTTAAAAAGGGCCAAAACCCCTTCCTCAGCTTTTTCACCATTTCAAAATGACAAACATTCATTCTTACATCCTTCTTGCAACCTTGTGAAAGTCATTCTTACTTTCATGCGATCCAAAATTTTTTTTTTTTGAAAAAATTATAAATAAGTGAAAACAAGTAAAAATAATTATAAAAATATAAAGATGCAAGTGGATCTGTGCTCTAGTGCAGGTAGAGCAAGTTCTTTACTTGAACTTTATATTTGTTTTAACTATTTTCACTTCTTTCTAATAGATTTGCAATCCCTGCACACCACAGCACACCACTTAACTTACAAAAAGCAATAGAGGAGGTTATTTGGTGGTCTTACCACGTTGCTGGGTTCAAAAAACTAACAAAAATAAAAGTTATAGGGTTCAACTATTTATTTTAAACCAATAAAAATCCCAAGTTAGAGTGCCACATGCCCATAGCCTTGCCAGAAGAGCTCTAAATAATTTTCCCTTAAAAAATGAAGTGAACTACTCTCTTTAACCCTATAACACAACCAAATCACTCTCACAAAAATATCAGGAATATCTACTGTTGGAAATTTGTGTTAGTGTATATAATATGATAGTGGTGTTGGTGGCATGTATATAATCACATGCCCATAGCCTTGCCCTAAGAGCTCTAAATAATTTTCCCTTAAAAAATGTAGTGAACTACTCTCTTTAACCCTGTAACACAACCAAATCACTCTCACAAAAATATCAGGAATATCTACTGCTGGAAATTTGTGTTAGTGTATATAATATGATAGTGGTGTTGGTGGCATGTATAGAATATGATAGTGGTAGATAGTGGTAATATATTATATACATGCCACCAACACCACTATCATATTATATACACTAACACAAATTTCCAACATCTACCTAGACAAAATGGCAGGTTCCATATATTATATATACCATCTAGACCACAAAAAGAATATTTTCCATATTACTTCAATAATGTCTGAGGCAATCATACTTTCTATACATCAGGGCAATAACAAAGAAAGGAAACATGATAGTTTAAGGTTCTCACATTAAGGTTTTTAGTTAAAAAGCCACTACAAATTAACATGGAAAATTAACTAGGTAACAAAATATTGTAAAGGTCCTGCATGATCCTGTTACCAAAGGGATGCAACCTGTAAAATTCGCACAAGGAGAGGCAATTATCAATCATGTTAGAAGGTTTAGGATTTAGTGCGTTGACAATTTCCATAGACATCAATGTGCATATTCAGGTTTATTATCAATTATCCTAAATTTTTCAATAAAATTATCTTCCATTTTGTTGCTAAACAGTTTTGACAATATTTATGCTAGGACAGTTTTGCAGTAGAGACTAGAAGAGTAAGTAAATAAAATAAATGTCATATATATTATTCATTAAATACATGTCTAATATTCTTCCAACTAAGAACCAATCAGTATTGCCTAATAACAGGGTGAATTAGAAATACACCCCCTGGAATGTGCACCGCATCCCCAATTCTTCATCTCCAACACGCATTAGATTAGACATACATATATACACACACAAGTTCAATCTATGTAAATAATTCTTCAATTCCAACACGCATTAAGATAATAAACAAGTTCAATCTATGTAAAACAAAGATTGAAACACGCATTAGTTTGCTTTGTTTTTTTTTGTTTGCTTTGTGAATGCAAAACACAGATTGAAACACAAACAAGTTCAATCTATGTAACGCATTAGTTTGCTTTGTGGATGCAAAACACAGATTGAAACACAAACAAGTTCAACCTATGTAAAGAATTGGAGCTCTTACAGGTCGATTACGGAGATCGATTACGATAAGCAATTGAAAATTCGAATTGGAGCTCTTACACGTCGATTACGGAGAGAGAGAGAGAGGCACCAAAATTTGAAGAAAATTAAGCTCCCAATCTGCCTTGGAGCTCCCGAATTTAGGGCTGAAGATTGAGCAAACCCGTTGAAAGAGAGAATAAGCAAGTTAGGGCTGAAGTCAAGTGAGGTCCCGACTTTTCAATTGTTAAAATGAGAAAATAATTTGTCTTAAATTGTTTTTAATTGATAATGACGAAAACATTTCGTCCCTAAAGATGTTAATAATATATTAGCAACCAAAATTATTGGTCCAAAAGAATTATGTAAATATTAAGTAAGAATATTAATAATCATTTTTACAATCTTATAAGTAAATTATCATATGTTTAAATTTGTCCCTAAAAGATTATTTTTAGCGACCAAATTTAATCAGTCCCTAAATATTTGTCTCTAAAAGACTAATTTCTTGTAGTGCCTCTTTACCTTTGGTAACTTATTCAAACCCATGTTCAACGCTTGAAATGGGCCTAAAACAGCACAAGAACACAAGAAATAGATAGAGATAGGTTGAAATAAAAGCAAAACAAAAATGACAAGCTTATACCTCTTGAAAAGAGTAAGCTTTGGCTGTTGATCAAACTTGATTCCAAACACCCTCAAGTTTATGAAATATGGTTTGAAACTCTAGCAAAAAGCTTCAAGAACAAGCTTGAATGGTGTATGTATTGTGTAAGGAAGATGGTTTTATCTCTCAAACCCTTTTGAAAAATTTTCTAACCTTGAATTCTGAAGGAAGAGGTTCTATTTATAGAGTTTGAGCCAAAAAAAGTCCAAAATATCTTCAAACAAAGATATTTGTTCAATTCCAGCCAGTTGTCTGTTTCTCGCCACTGAGACCCGGTCGAGCCTCAAAACACACGGTTGGGCCTCAATAATGCACGGTCGGGCCTAGAAATACAAGGCAAGGTCTAAAAAAACACTCTGGAGAAATTTTCATTGAGGCCCGGCCGGTTCTTAATGACTGCACTTCAGGCTCGATTTCAAACGGGCATATCTCCCTTATTCGGACTTGGTTTTAGGTGATTTTTAAGTCTAAATTGAAGCCCCGAAAGTTTACTTTCCAATGGTGTGGCCTCATATCTAACTTCTAAGTTTTCAAAGAGATATGTCTATTTTAGTAAAGGTTGTTTATTCTTTCTCAACGGTTTGATGCTCAACTTCTTCCTAAACTAGTTTTCTTCCCTCCCCCCCTATTTTCTTAAACTCCAAACCTATAAATAAGATAGTTTAAATATTTTTTAAAGAGTTCACCTTCCTTTCATGTATCTCCATTTTGTCCTTACTCGGTTTACCGAAAAATGCAATATTTTAAACGAAATGCGAGCCTCGGAACATCGTAGAAGCATTTGGAAAAATATTTTAAAACAAGGGTTTTAAGGTCAAAAATAGTTTGGCCAAAATGGGGTGCGAGGTTTGAGATTAGAGCTTGAATCCAAATTTCTTCGCTGAAGATCCAAACGATTACACAGTGTAACTTTCATTATCGGGTATTCAGAATAAAGCGCCTAAGTCTTAAGGGCAGTCAAAAATGGGGTGTCTACAGTGTTCTATGCCAAGAAGCCGACAAATGAGCTATGGGATGCTTTGGACAAGAAATACTAGACCGAGGATGCTGGGGTAAAGAAATTTGTCATTGGTCAATTTTTGGACTTCAAAATGATGGACTCAAAAACCGTTATCAGTCAAGTCCAAGATTTCTAAGTAATTCTGCACAAGATTTATGTAGAGGGAATGTTCCTGAATGAAGCATTCCAAGCAGCTACATTGATTGAGAAGTTGCCTAACAACTGAAAAGACTTCAAGAACTGCTTGAAGCATAAACGAAAGGAGATGATAGTTGAAGAGCTCATTGTCAGGCTCCAAATTGAAGAAGACAACAGGAGCAAATGGGGGAATACCTCCAATGTGAAAGCAAACATGGTTGAACATGGCCAATCCTTGAGGGTAAAGAAGAAGCCACTTACAGGAAAAAGTTCAAAACTGGGGGCAAGAAGCGGTGTCTTCAAAAGGCCGGTTTACAAGGTATAGGAATCTACTTTCAAGTTCAATGAAAAGTACTTCAGCTATGGAAGCGATGGGCATCGGGTGGTTAATTGCCACAAAAAGAAGAAACCTTGCAAGAAGTACCCTCCACAGAACAAAAGTCGGGCTCACATGGTTGAAATAGAGGATCTGTCACAAAATGTGGACGACATGCATCTGTCAGCTGTCGTCTCTAAGGTGAACATGGTCGAGTCCAACCCGAAGGAATGGTGAGTGGACACTAGGGCCATTCACCACATCTGTGCTGAGAAAAAGATATTCACAACTTTTAAACCGGTTTCAAACGATAAGAAGTTGTTCATAGAAAATTCTACGACCTCAATTATTGAGGGTAAAGGCAAGGTGGTCCTGAAGATGACTTCAAGAAAAGAGCTAACTCTGAACGATATCCTATTTGTTCTGGGCATTTGTAAGAACCTTATCTCGGGGTCACTCCTAAGCAAGCATGGCTTCCGCATGGTGTTTGAGTCTGATAAGGTCATGTTGATCAAGAGTGGGGTCTATGTGGGGAAGGGGTATATGTCGAGCGGTATGTTTAAGCTCAATATGATGATTATTATCCCTAAAGTTAATGAGAAAGCTTCTTCTTTTGCTTATATGCTTGAGTCCCCTGAATTATGACATGGTAGACTTGGTCATGTGAATTTTGACTCTTTGCGTAGATTAATCAGGTTAGGTCACATACCATCTTTCAAGATTAATCCAAATCATAAGTGTGAAACTTGTGTAGAAGCTAAATTGACAAGGGCTTCATTTCATTATGTTGAAAGAAGTACCGAACCTTTAGATTTAGTGCACAGTGATGTGTGTGACTTGAAAGTTGTACAATCACGTGGTGGCAACAAATACTTCATCATTTTTGTTAATGATTGCACTAAATATTGCTATGTGTATTTGCTTAAAAGCAAAAATAAGGTGATTGATAAATTTATTCTTTTTAAGAATGAAGTTAAGAATTAACTAAGTCGAAAGATTAAGACTCCAAGATGTAATTATGGTGGAGAATATGAATTTTTGTTTATTGAGGTTTGTGCTCAATTTGGAATTATCTACTAAACTACATCACCTTATTCCCCTCAGTCAAATGGTGTTACTAAGCGGAAAAATAGGACATTGAAGGAAATGATGAATGCAATGTTGATAAGTTATGGGTTGCCATAGAAC